GGGTTCTGGAGCCAAGTTACAAAATAAACAACGTCTACTTTTTTATTGGAGCACTAGGTAAGACTTGAGATAAATTTAGCATAAGAAGTTGTCCTTGGGTGAGTCACAAAAAAGGTAACAAATGCTCTTTTCCTTAAGTTAAGCTCTTTTCTCTCCGAAAGATAAGAACTTTTCTACAGAGGATAAACTTCCAGAACAAACAGAGTAGACAAGAAAACAATCAGGCTGTGACTTAGCAAAGGTAAGCTCATTGGGTTTTCAAGAATAAAGCAGAACATTGAAAGCCACCCAGTTGATTTGCACAGTTGTTCCACTTTGCACAACAAATTTTGAAATTTACTGCTTGTTATTGGTTTATTGCATCAACCCAAAAATACTCAATAATAACCATAAACGTTATCCTCAACAGCATGGAATGACCTTTTGTACTTAAGCTTATTTCCAACTCACAAACAGAACCAATCACACCTTACTGAGGAACTAATTTAACAAAAATAGTGGAATCCTGATACAAGTACTTCAACCAAAGCAATCAATTAAAGCAGTAGTTTAGTTTGAAATAGCAGGTTGAAATAACATAACCTAGAAAGATATGCTAACTTCAAGGACAACTTCATTGTTAAGTACAGCATTATGAATTTCCTACTTACGAGGGTGTTTGGAAATAGGAGCACCATCTTGGACTTCTGATGTTTGATCTTGACTCCCTAGACAAAGCAAAACAAGATACAATGTAAAATTAATATTGCACCATCTCCCAAAATTATCCCTGGTTTCTTAGCATGAAGCGATTAGGAGTATTTCTACTCCTTCCTAGATGGGATGCTAGTTCATAGCACGTTTACCCCAAGCATTAAATTTGCCGGCACCCATTTATACACCTGGGTGGAGAGAGGCAGTGTGAAAGTAAAGTGTTCTTGCCCAAGAATACAACACAGTGTCATTAGCCAGGGCTCGAATCCGGACCGCTTGATCTGGATACCAGTGCACTAACCATGAGGCCACTGCAATGTTAGCAATAAATCCTAATCGACAAAGAATTCCAATAGAGTATGTGTAAAGCTCAATAAAAAAATAATTGATATTTTTTGTTGTTGTTGTTTTTAAATTAAAACAAACTTACAGTAGCCAGTCCCTGGGTGGGGTCCAGGTGTGTATGTGGCTGATCCTGGTGGAACCCAGCCAGGTGGTCCAGCTGCATGAAGAGGCAAAAACAAATTGCAGAGTAGGAACTTGTTGGTAAGGGCACAAGTCAAAGAAATGTGTAACAGTGACAAGATCTTTCATTTGAAAATGAACCAAATATAACATATATAGCCACAGAACACAATAAAAGTAATACAGGGGTATCATTAAACTTTTCAGCAAAAGGGCAACTGGTTTTCACAGACAGGCAAAACTATTTGATCTAAACTTCTTTATGAGAAAAAAACTTTCTGCAAGATGGTTAAACCCAACAAACCAGGGGGTAGAATCTTCCTCACAGTCAGTGAATTTACCTGGTGCCCAGGCCACAATGAGACCCCTGGTAATAATTTTTTATCTGATACAAAAAGTTAGAATCAATTTTTAATCATAACCCTCACATTCAATCTGTTTTCTCATGTACCATACCTGAAGAGACATGCCCCATGGTGTGATCAGCAGCGGCGTGCATACCAGAATACATATCATGAGGGGGGCCAACAACTGAAGGAATTGTCTGGCTACCTGGTGAGTAAAAGTTCAAACAAACTTAATTCCCTGCTTTAAAAGAAACGTGTTCCCTTTCTGTTGCCTAATATGCTTCAAATGAGACTTGCTAGTTTAAAATGGTACAATTCATAAACCAACAAAATGAATTTTACAAGTTAGGTGTAAAGCTGCTGGCTAAAGTTGCTTCAGTCTTTAAATTACTTTCAACAGTCATGTATGCAGTGAATAATTTCCTTTATTCCTAGTCAATAATTATTATTGACTAGAGATAAATTGCAAAAAAATATATAACTAGCTAAAAGAAAATGAACCACATATAGTTGAAACCAAAAATTAACAAAAACACAGACACAAATTTTTAGTTATCTTTATAGTTATCTAAGGTGTTGTAAAACAGGGATTCTACAAGGTGCAATTCATCTTTCACAGTTGCCACAGTTTTTCACAGTTGTCATACTTCAAAGACTCTCAAGACTTGTAAGAACAAACATTTTGAGAGAATTTTGTAGTAAATGCATCCTTCTCAGCTGCAAACAGTAAAACATTACAAACCAGGATAGTGATGAGCAGTGGGGCCAACAGCTTGACGGAAATCTGGATCTGGCTGTGAATTACCAGCATAAGCTCCATCTAAAGAAAAAAAAATACAAATTTAATCTGCTCACTGCTTTCTTGATGTGTTTGTTAAGGTTGTCAATTAAACCTCGTGCATTGGGTAATGTGGTCATACTGTACCTCACAATTCTGGTTTTAAGCCCTGGGTTATACAACCTCATAAAGACTTATGGGAGGGTTTAAACAGAAGGACATACAGGTGTATAGGGGTTAAAAACTGTCTAAAATGAGGCGATAAAAACTAACTTATCAACACTTGCACTTAACCACTCACTTGTATCAAAAGATGTTTTCCATTGACTGATTTTAAAGTTTGCAAGCTCTTAAACCCACAAGGAAACAAATACACAAAGTACAGAGGTCATTCTATGGAGCCCTTTATCATTGGGTTAAGTTGACGCCTGTCTCAAGTTCAAACGATGCTCTACATGTCAGCATTTGATTACTGTTGTACATGTATACTTAAAGGATGATTGCATTAACAGACCAAAACTAGAGGAGGGGTCATAACAAGGTGGCCTATAACTGTAACATTCATTTTGTTCACATACAGATGAGCAAACAAGTACATGTAGGAGAGGGCTTATAAGTGGTGAGGGGGAGGGGGTTTGTACAGTGCAAAACCAGGAAGTTACAGTACCTAACAATAAAACACGACTGTTAAAGTAGTGATAATTAGGTTGCAAACAGTAACAATTTGTAGTCTTATAGCGGAGCTCCGGCAGCCC